CATAGTTGACCATTATTGCTTATATAAAATATGCAATCATATGCTCTCAGCAGCTGTAGTAATAATCCTAACTTACATTGCCACACAAATAATAGATACTGGTTAATTTGCAGTTAACTCATAAAATAATTTATAATGTTAGATAATTTGATAAAACAAAAACCAATTATATCATTGACAAAAACACTATCAATCTTTGGAAGAAATTATATATATATTGAAGCCTTAAGTTAAAAGGAAAAGATGCCATATTAGAAATGAAATATTTTAACCAGAATGATATAATGAAAGCAATTAAGATTTTATATATTATTGTTGCACCACCTCGAGTTAGTATATTATATCTTAAAATAATAGTAGTTTGCAATAATATCAAAAAACATACTCGTATTAAACATTTAACTCGAAACTGTTTTTCAAATAAGAAAAAAAATGGCTTTCCTAAAAACTCGTAAAATCTTCTATACTTATTTGGACCTTGAAAATATTTTTTAGGAAGAGGCATGATAATTAAATTTAAAAATGATTTTGATTAGGAATTTTGAACTCGGCTAATTACATTATTAAATTTGTTAATTTTAAATTAATAAATGATTGTATTTATTTAAGGTTATACCATTGGGTTATACTAATAATTTAAATGAAAAAGTCAATTAAGCTTCAACTGTTAATGCTAAATTAATTTTTAGTTAGTGATATTGCTATATTTTTAACACAGAATTTGATTGCAAGCTGACATAGTGAAATAATTTATATGTATTAATCTAATCTAATAATTAAAATCGTATTCATTTAATAAAAATTTAGAGAGACTTATTAATTTTCAAATAATAGAATTAAATCTATATATTACGTAATAGAATTATAAAGAAATCGTTCAGGGGGCAATTAAAACAATTTATTTTTAGTTCAAGGGGATATTAAGGAGCCATTAAAAAATTTTGCTTAAGGGGGCTATTTAAATTTTTCAGGGAGCTCTAGCCCCTGCGCGCCCCTCTAGTGACGCCACTGCCTAATATTATTCAACCTAGAGTATCAACATCAAGAAATTATATGGTAAATTTCAATTATTCTAATAACAATAAGGGTACTAGAAAAGGCGTATCACATTCACATTGTAACAAAAATAACAGTCCAAATGCTAGACATATTATACTCAAAGTTTCTGAATTTCATTTACAGATATTAGTTCCTAGAGAAATGGTTAGAGCTATAATTGGTAAAAAGGAGAAACTATTAGGGCCATTGTTCAACAAACTCATGCAAGGATCCATGTGATTATGTTGAATAATGATTTTGACCTCTTCTCATTTTTACTTTCAATTTTGTTTTTTATAAAAAATACTATTTGATAGATTTGACCTCGTCTTATTTTACTCTTAATTTTTTTTTATAAAGAAAGTATTTTTGATATTCAGATTAATTTGCTTTTCTTTTTTATCTTGATTGTATATAATATAATTATTTTGCGAATATATAGATGTTTTGATGATGATTTAAAATAAAATTTTTCATTTTTTAAATTTTGTGTGTAAACCTCGTGCAAGTTCTTTGCATGGTGCCCCGCAAATATATCTCCGGTAGTAAAAAATTTTCTTCTTCCTTTTTTCCAATACTTTATTGATTCTTCCATTTCGTTGTAATGAGAAAATTAACATGCAAAAATTAAAATAAAAAAATACATTCAAAAAAAAGAATTATTTTCAAAATAAATCCCAACTTACATAACGGTAAAAAAAAAATTATTATATTTTTTAATAGTTTCTTCTAATTTTTTTGGATCATAACTGTGTTTTTATGTGGTATAGTCATTGAATTAACCGTCACCCAGGACATGATTTAAAAGAGATGTTACGCATCTCTGAATATGAAGTTTTATGTCTATAGTAACAGAATTCCTTAAGATATTTTGCATTTTTGTTAAATTATAAATTTAAATGTATCACTTATTTTAACACTGAAAATATTTATCAGAAAAATTAATCAAACGTAAATAAAAAATTTTTTTCATGAAATCTAATGACATTATAAATTATGTAGTTAATAATAAAAAGTTTACTAAGAATACATAACATTGTTGAGAACAAATATAAGGATCCAGATAGAACTTCAGATATTACTTTTGATAACACTTTTCCTAGATATACTTGCAGGAATGAGAATACTAATAATTATAATAGAAATAATAACAATTTTAGACAAAGTTATGAAAACAGATATAATAATAATTATAGGAGTAGGAATTGCAATAATAATAATTCTACATATTATGACAATAATAGAACTTTCAGAATAGTAACAATTACAATAATAGCAATTTTAGAAATAGTAACAATTACAATAATAGCAATTTTAGAAATAGTAACAAATACAATAATAACAATTTTAGAAACAGTAACTGTTAATTGAGATTTAATTTTTTGTATATTTAAACTTGTTTAACTTAAATTGCTATTATTTGAACATAACCTATTTAATATGTTAGGATTATTTTTGCCTGTAACCTTGTTTTCGTTTAAATCGTTTTTTTATAATATACCTTATTTGATATTTAGTTTTTTAGTTATTTTTTAGTTAGTATATTTTATAATAAATAAATCAAATATAAAGAAATTTTTGTATAACATTTTCTAATCTTTCCACCATATTAGCATGGTGGCAATGGTGGGATCCGACACTACTTATAGTTAGGAACCAAATAATAAATTTAAAGAAAGATGTAAATTATTAAATTTAAATTAACTTCGTCTGCAGATCCTATCTAAAAAATATATAAAATCGACATGCTGGCCTCTCAATAAAAAAAAGAAAAGGTAAAAATATATAAAACATATTTATTATTTTATTATTTTTATGATATTCTTATTATCATTCTTTTAGTCAATCATTCATTTGGTTTATCAAGTTAGTTAATATTTAAGGCAATGTCATGGCCATCGGGATATTTTTTTTATAAATCATCATCAGGCGCGTAAGCAGGAATTTGATATGGGGGGGGGAATAATAAATTTTTTTAAGGAATATTATTGTTTTTTAAAAATTTCAAGCATAAATTTATTAGAACTAATAACTATTTCTAATACACAATTTTAAATTAATGTGAATTATAAAAAAAATTATATGTATAAACCGTCATATAAAAACTATAAAATAAATGTGAATTAAATTAAACGGATATAATTGGCGGTATAGAAAAACTATAAAATAAATGTGAATTATAAAATATAAAGTGAATATAACCACTATATGAATCATTTAAATGACCCAAAATAGAAATTTGAATTTTTTGAGCCCTTTAAAATTTATATATATAAAAAATTTAAATGTTGGAAATATAAATTAATACACAAAAAGTTTCTTAAGAATAATTGTATTTTGTATATTATATATTTACATGTAAAATCCAATCTTCGTTGGGATTGAGCTAATTTTTTAATTATCTCATCCTTGCTTGTCGTCAAATGCCTATGAATATTCAAAAGATCCAAACCTTTCAATCTACTTTCAGAAGTTGTACTTTTTGGAACATTTTTCACCGACTTGGGGGCCGGACCGTATTTTAATTTTTTAAATATACCCAGGCCATGCCCGAATTTTTTTACAAAATATCCGAGCCGGGTTGTATATTTTAAAACAGCCTATATTTGAAATCGTTATTATTAGTTATAAAAATCAAAAAGAAATGTAATTTATTTTAAAAAAATCCGGGTCGGGTCTAAAAATTTTATTTTAAAAAAAGCCGGGGCGGGCCTAAAATTGTAAAAAATTCTAAAAAAAAATTCGGGCCGTGCCCTGAAAATGGTACCTCTGCCAGGCTCTGTTATTCTTCTCAAAAAAGAGAATGTTCTCTCCTTAGTTTACTAATAGGAAGAGTTGCTAATATATATAAACCCTTTTAATACATTGGGAATATAATCTAAAATGTGTTTGAAATGCAAAGCATCCATAGCATTTTTTGGAACTATATCAACCATAGTTAATTTTATAAATATAGTTATTCAGCTAATAAGGCATCATAAGATACTTTAACATCTTCATGATAAAAATCTAACAAATATTTTTTTTTATCACCACGGAAAAAGGTTGGTAAGGCTTTTGTGGAAGTAATATCTGCAGATTGGTAAGTGCTGCATGATGAATTAAAAACCATTTATTTATTTGGGTTATAAATGTATCTAAGAGAGGGGACATTTGTTTTATAATACACTTCTACTGATCCTATATTAATGTTTTAACGATGAGCTTGCCTTGCTGAAAGTCGAGGGAGACAAATTTTAAACACGTATAGCTCTACTTTTGACTCAACAATATCATATAAAATATGAAATTTTTCTTCAACATTAGCCCTAATTTCCTTGAGTTCTAATAAAATGCTTTCCTATATTCTCTTCTTCTAAATCAAGTCAATGTCATGTTTTTGAAAGATATTACATATAGTTGTATAATTGAATAATACATTCTAACGAGAAAAAAAATTTGGAATAAGCATTGAATCCAATAATTTTCTTGCTCTGAGGAAATATTTCTTTCAGGCCATTGTGATATTACAGTAATAGCAAATAATCGGCTCTTCTAACTCCATAAAAGCTGTTATTGCTTGATGGTCTTTCTCCCTGTTGGACAAAGAGTTTCATAAATAATTATTATTTGACTAGAAATTTGAAAATGGTAGATAAATATTACGCCACTAAAAATTTGAAAATAATAAGTAAATATTACGCCGGAAAACTCGAAATCGAAATTAATTGATAAAATAAGTTAATAGATGAATGTGATAAATAAATGTAATTTAATATTTAATATGAGATAGGAATAAATATTAACAAATATAAATTAATATAAACAATAATATTTTTGAAAAATATATCCGGCATCTGCATTTGCGTACGCTCCTGATCATCATATAGGTCATTGTTAAAAAGAAAATAATATATAATACAAATAAATAAAATTCAACGAAATAAACATCTTCTTAACCTTTAAAGACCATAATAAAAAGTTCAAAGTAGAAGGTCGATGAACTTGAATTTATTTTTAAAAAAATAATAAATAAATTTGCGTTTGGTACTGAAAGATTTTTTGAAATGGGAAGTGCTTTTGCTCTTCATGATTTTCGCCTTGAGAATGTTGTTGTAACCCGGGATGTGACGATTCCCCAATTTCATATTTTGAATTTTCATGGCTTCTACGAGAGCGTATAATCGTTTAAGTTCAGTCGCCGTATCCTGGTCCTTGATGTTAACGTAACTTGTATCACCGCTTTGAGACAATAAGGATGCCGCTTGGCTCTTATTTTCGGTTCCACCAACTTTGCCTTTGAAGAACTTGTTCTTAATTGCCTGATCGATGGTTCCTCCGGCTTTGTTTCCCAAACCCTTGAATATCGAGTAAATTATTAAAAAAAAGAACGGAGATGGTGTGACGCAGGGAAACAAAAATGAAAAAGGGACGTAAGCGTTGTCTATGATAGCTCTTTGGCTAGAAGGCAACCATTGAAACTGATATAATTAGCTTTGTGAATCGCTATGGATAATCGTTGACGAAGAAAAAAACCCTCTCGTGGTTCTTCTGAGAGTTTGCTGATTTGTGATCCTAAGTTTTTGAAAAATGCTAAGGCGAGTTTGCCGAAGGTGAAAATAAATTATTTTTTTTAAAGTACAAGGTCAATGAACTTAAATTTTTTTTTATAATAAGAGTTCAAAGTTCAAGATCGATGAACTCGGTTAAAAAAAAGACACCGTTAATTCTAGCTAAGAGAAATTTATATACGAAATAAAACAAATAAATAACGCGCTCAACGAAGCGATATGTGATAAAATTATACTAAAAGTGATCAAATTAGTATCGAACTTTCCAAATAATATGATTGAGGCTTTTATATAATAATTGTCTGCGCTATATATATGTCGTAAATTTTAAAGGGATCATGACTATCCGGGATCTTCACGGGTTTTAAAGGGATAACTAAAAATTTAGGGTTTTAAGTTAAGGAATGATAATACGGTATTATCACGTTTTACCGTGATAAAGAGGAATCTTATTTTAAAAAGCGTTTTACGCGCGTTTCGTTTTATTTCTTTTTAATTTTATTGTTATTTATAAATTTTCAATGTTGTTTTATTGGTCTTATGAAATAAGTTAGGTCTAACATAGGGTATCAATCGAGAGCTAATAAAAAGATATATTCAACTGGAGGTCAATCTCTCCGCCGTAATGGGCGAGTCTAGGTCTGGGGTCAGGAATATTTTTATAAACATAAAATATCGATATGGGTATCAAACAAAAGCTAATTTAAATATCTTTTGACTGAAAGCATTTATTTTTGGTCTTGGTGGGTTATGACTTGGTCTTGGGGGGGGCGGATAGAGGGGGGTGGGGTTAAAAAATAGTTTTTTTGATATGGGTATCAAAAAAAAGGTAATTTAAATATCTTTTGACTCTAAGCATTCATTCTTGGTCTCGATGGGTATGACTTGGTCTGGGGGGTGGATGAAGAGGGGGGGTAAAAAATATAGTTTTTTTGATATGGGTATCAAATAAAAGGTAATTAAAATATTTTTTTATTGTAATAATAATAATCACTTTAAGCGGGTGGGTCTAGGTCTTGGGGGGTCAGGAATATTTTTATAAACATAAAAATCGATATGGGTGTCAAATAAAAGCTAATTTAAATTTCTTTTGCCTGAAAGCATTTATTCTTGGTCTTGATGGGTGTGACTTGGTCTGGGGGTGGATGAAGGGGGGGGTAAAAAATAAGTTTTTTTGATATGGGTATCAAATAAAAGGTAATTAAAATATTTTTTTATTGTAATAATAATAATCACTTTAAGCGGGTGGGTCTAGGTCTTGGGGGGTCAGGAATATTTTTATAAACATAAAAATCGATATGGGTGTCAAATAAAAGCTAATTTAAATTTCTTTTGCCTGAAAGCATTTATTCTTGGTCTTGATGGGTGTGACTTGGTATGGGAGTTGATGAAGGGTGGGGGGTAAAAAATAAGTTTTTTTGATATGGGTATCAAATAAAAGGTAATTAAAATATTTTTTTATTGTAATAATAATAATCACTTTAAGCGGGTGGGTCTAGGTCTTGGGGGGTCAGGAATATTTTTATAAACATAAAAATCGATATGGGTGTCAAATAAAAGCTAATTTAAATTTCTTTTGCCTGAAAGCATTTATTCTTGGTCTTGATGGGTGTGGTCTGGGGGTGGATAAAGGGGGGGGGTAAAAAAATAAGTTTTTTTGATATGGGTATCAAATAAAAGGTAATTAAAATATTTTTTTATTGTAATAATAATAATCACTTTAAGCGGGTGGGTCTAGGTCTTGGGGGATCAGGAATATTTTTATAAACATAAAAATTGATATGGGTATCAAATAAAAGCTAATTTAAATTTCTTTTGCCTGAAAGCATTTATTCTTGGCCTTGATGGGTGTGACCTGGTCTGGGGGTGGATGAAGGGGGGCGGGGTAAAAAATATGTTTTTTTTGATATGGGTATCAAATAAAAGCTAATTTAAATATCTTTTGACTCCAAGCATTCATTCTTGGTCTCAATGGGTATGACTTGGTCTGGGGGGTGGATGAAGAGAGGGGGGGGTGTAAAAAATATAGTTTTTTTGATATGAGTATCAAATAAAAGATAATTAAAATATTTTTTTATTGTAATAATAATAACCACTTTAAGCGGGTGGGTCTAGGTCTTGTGGGGTCAGGAATATTTTTATAAACATAAAAATCGATATGGGTATCAAATAAAAACTAATTTAAATTTCTTTTGTCTGAAAGCATTTATTTTTGGCCTTGATGGGTATGACTTGGTCTGGTGGTAGATGAAGGGGGTTGGGAAATAAGTTTTTTTGATATGGGTATCAAATTAAAGGTAATTAAAATATTTTTTATTGTAATAATAATCACTCGGGTGGGTCTAGATCTTGGGGGGTCAGGAATATTTTTATAAACATAAAAACGATATGGGTATCAAATAAAAGCTAATTTAAATTTCTTTTAATGCATTCATTTTTGGTCTTGATGGGTATGACTTGGTTTGGTGGGTGGATGGAGGGGTTTGATTATATTGATTTTATTTCTCTAAGCGGGCGTATTAAAATGTTATGAATATTATTATTCTTATAGAACATTAACATGGGTAAATAAAATTAAATACAACATATTTAGACTTCAATATTAAATATCACTATAAGCAGAGCTCATTGTCAATGCTTTTTAAAAACTTATTGTAACCTAATAAAATTATTTGCTCGCAGCTTATTCTAATATATTATATATTTAAATCTCAAAATTTCTGGCTATATTTGAAACCATCGATTCACAAATTTTAAAATGACATATTAAATTTTTTTTTCTACAGTTATAAATTATTACACATCTTTAGAAGCAAATCATCCTTATTATTATATTTTTCTTCAAACCATATAATCAACACATATTTTATTTTATTTTGATAATTGAAATTTAAATATAATTTTGAACAGTTATTTATTAGTACAAGTAATATTTAAATGACATTTTGTGGAACAATTAATCCCATTTTTAAAACATTGGCATCTCTTATTGTTGCAACTTTTTTGGCAATTGCAAATTGATTTACAATTACCATAAGAAGATGCACTTCTTGATGCTGTTATTATGGAAATAGTCTTATGGAATGGTTAAATTGGAAAATTTTATTGATTTATGAACACTCGTTTTTAAAAATGGTGAATCAATTTTTCCCAATTGAGTTCCAACCCATAGTTTATCGCCCTATTTGGGTAATTTTGGTCTCAATATTTTTGGGGCATATATTAGATCTATCATTTTTATTTATTGGGATCAGTACGTGATCCCCAATGGATAATTTTATTTTTTTAATTTTATTTTTATAAGCATTGTGTTGCTTATTCCTATCCAATAAATATCCAATAAAGGAAGGCAATCTTGCTAAAATATTTTCTATAGTATTCCCAATTGAATTAGTTGTATTTTTATCTTGCCATGCAATTGTGTTTCCTATTTTATATTTCGTTTTGTCCGAAAGAATATATTGAATATTATAATATGATTCGTATGAATTTTTCTTTTTATTTTTTGTGCAATAACTATACCTTCAGGAGTATTACTACTATTCTGGTTATAAAGAAGAAATAAAGTATTTGTATATGTTGAATTTGAAACACTGGGGAAATCTGGTTTAAAATAAAATATAAAAATGAAGAGTTAAATTAGTAGGCTAGAGTTAGTAAAATATTCATTAAATTTACTATATTCATCAGATAAAAGAATAATTTATCAATCCATTGACATTATACGATGAACTTCAAATAGAATTTTAAATTAAACCTTTTAATTTTAAGTTTACAATATTTATTATCATTCATTTTTTACTCATTTCATCGGGACTAGAATCGATCAATAAGTTATCATTTAACGGTGAGCTTGGTGTAACATTTTGAATTAAACCTTTAAAAATTTTTAGGCGTTACTATTATATATTAATTCTGACATATTTTATTATTACTGATTTCATCAGGATCATATTCTATCAATGAGTTTCCGCTTGACGATAACCTCGGAAGAGTATGAACCAAACCTTTATTGAATTAGGGGGTAAATATATTTAAATATAATGATTTTTTATTTGGAGGCTAGTGGCGATGCAGAAGTTTAAATATTCTGAAAATTATAAAAAAATTTTATTTAAAAAATTTAGGAGTTACAATTTATATATTAATTCTAGCATATTTTATTATTACTGATTTCATCAGGATCATATTCTATCAATGAGTTTTCGCTTGATGTCGGAATCGTATGAACCAAATCTTTATAAAATTAGGGGGTAAAGATATTTAAATATATAATGATTTTTTATTTGGAGGCTGGTGGCGATGCAGAGGTTTAAATTTTCTGAAAATTATTAATTTTTTTTATAAATTTTGAATTAAACCTTTAAAAAATTTAATAGTTACAATAATATATTTAATTCTAACATATTTTATTATTACTGATTTCATCAGGATATTCTAATGGGTTTTCTCTTGATGTTAACCTCGGAAAAGTATGAACCAAACCTTTATAGAATTAGGGGGTAAATATTTTTAAATATAAAATAATTATTTTTTATTCGGAGGCTGGTGGCGATGCGGAGATTTAAATTTTTGAAAATTATATAGCCCTTAAAAATTTTAATTTTTTTTTTATAAATCTCGATATATTATTTTTTATATTGAGCCCTCTTAAATATTATAGATTTTTACTCATTTCTTCATGATCAGAATCCACATTAACTATTTCTGGTATCACTTCCGGTTCGCTATCAACCGAATAAGGTGTTCTAGCGAAAAATACATTAAATGGGGTATTTTTAATTGTT